GTATCTATTGCTGCTGTTGGTAATGTTTATAGTACTTGTTGTAACCTTCCTCAATGTTAAATATCGACTTCCTTACGAGCATAGCCGATAAGTGAATGTAAATGGCTTATTAATACAATGAATTCATTTCTTTGCCATTGCTTTGTTACAAAAAAAAAAAAAAAAAAAAAAAAAAAAAAAAAAAAAAAAAAAAATTAAACTAATATTTTAGAAAAATATGAAATTTTTTTTTTGTAACATGGCTTAATCAACAAACAAATTCCAAACGTATTTTAAAAAAATTGTTGTTGTCTTTTAAGAATTTTTTTTTGAAAGCGTAACACGACTTAATGAACAGGCTAATGCAAAAATATATATTATAGTGGGTCAAAAATGTTTCTTTTTCGCTTTGTACTCTAAAAAATTAATTGATAGACACTGCCAAGAAAGGCTTTCTAAGTATAAGCTCTAAATTATAAAGGGAAGGTTCTCCGCTTAACGGTTTTCCTCACTATGAGATAGAAAAAGTCATATTTCACTTCCATCAACCGAAAAAATATCTCGTTAATGAATTTTATAGGAAACCTAATGCTCCGTTAAATGACCTTTTTTTGGAAAACCTTACCCTTTGTAAAGTATTAAGCGTTGAAGTTTAATTATTTTTAAGCAAATTTGTGTTTTTTTCTATTACATTTTATAACTCAGCGAAAAAACATCATTTTAATTGCAAAGTCCATAAGTCTTGTAGAAAATTTATTTCTCTACCAAACTGGCCAGTTTTGTTTATGTTTTGTGTTTTGTTTTTGTGCTGTTTTCTTGGATAAATCTTTTGCAGTTTCCTTGGATAAACATTGACAATCTCGTAAACGATTAATTTAATTGAAAAAAAATATGCAGACAAGTTTTGAGCTCATACTTGGAAAGGCTATCTTATAATCTTAGAGGTATCTCTCAATCAATATTGCATGTTACGAAGCGAAAAATATTAATTTTCTTTGACAGATCCTAATGTATATATTCACATATTATATACCGGCAGAAATAGTCTTCACAATGTCAACACTCAGTATTTTGAGAATAATATCACTGAAATTTGAATAAAAAGCTCAAAATTTTAAACGGAAAACCTAAATATGGCCAACAGCTGTTTTCATTTGTACTACAGTCTGGTTTTTACGCTCGTTTAAATTTTTATGTTCGTAATTCCGGAGGAGAAGTAAATATTGCTATCATAAAATACACATTATATACTCTAAATTATATTTCAAAAAGGAAACAGCTTTTCATAAATTAAGTAGCTGTGTTGAGCAAGTAATGTTTATCGTAATGTTGGTGGGTGGATTAAAATACTTTGGATATTTAGCCCCTTAGTAGGAACATTTCTAACCGTAATTCGTTTATTTGGAAAATCTTACAAACTATTTTAACTTTTTTTCGTTGTCATAAGTACACAGATCTCATACTAAAAAGAAATCGAGAGATATTTGATATATAATATGAGAATTTTCTGACAACGAAGTGTTCCCATGCAATCCCAAAACATCACAAATTTTCTTTAGCTTTCTTAGTTTATATTGAATATGTATTTTTATGGATAAATATGGATATACTTTTATTTTATCTTCCGGTCAGTATTTCTACACATGTTAAAGTCATATCAGCTGATAGGTAACCGATAAACAATACTTCACAGTTGTCTGGAAATCTTTCGCCTTTTACTAAAAACATTGCTTGGAAAGCGATCCGCTACTGATCTGTGTTCAATTTTACGAACATAGATTTTGAAGAATAAATTCAGAATTTTAAAACTATGAACCAGTCTTACAAGTTTTTCGTATTAGTACATCAATTAATTAATATATTATGTGAGTTCCATTAGAGAAAACTTGGACTGATTCGAATACACTTGTAATTAGTGGAAAATAAATAGAAATTGATTTTAAAGGAACGAATATACGGTATCAATAGATCAACACTTGAATATAGTTGAACTGCTGAAAAACCCGTATGTATTAATACCAGGAACTCTGAAAAGGAGAATTTCTCACGCTAAACTTGTATAATCCATATACCATATTTCCAGGTAAATTTTCGAAAGTACACCATGACCATGACGGTAAGAGCAATCGGAGCGGTGTGGTTTAGGTGCAATGCATACGTATCCGACGGCAGCACTAGCGATCATGCTGGAACTCACACTACTCCGCTTAGTAATCAATCAAACAGCTAAACATGCAATGCTATAAATGATAGTAGAATGGTATGGCTAAAGGAAGGTAAGATCATCAAAGCAAATGAAGGTGTTATTCGAAGAAATAGGGATATTATAATTAAGTGGTGCCCTGATGGCTCGAGAACGTCGGAAGGCTGCGTACCAAACTTTTCATACCTACGGGACATTTTCCGAGCATTTTACAAGTAGAAATATGCTATTAGAAGCTTAGAAGGTTAAATCGCTATTAGCAGAAGTTCATAGAACGGTGGAAAGCCTATCAGTTCAGATTCAATTGCACCTCATCTGGATGCTTGTCACAGCAGAGAACGGAACGGAAATCAATAAGCTGACGAGCTTGACCGTTCCGCTGGTGCCTCAAGATGGTAGGACCGGAATCCTGCTTAGCTTCGTAAGGAGGAGACAGTGGATAGGAAATAGTAAAGGCAACAATTCATAGGCATGTATCAGACAAAATAGTGTAATCCACTTCTGGAGGTACAAATTTGGTATCCAAGTGGCTCCGGGGGATGAAAGGTTTGGATCTTTGTATCAATACGTTCTAGGGGGTTTATTGGTATGCTGTGTCTATGTGATTCGGGAGGGCACAAAAAGCTCTTATTCCATGCTCCTGTTTCGATCAAAATCATTGGGTTTACCAATGTCGGTCGCGATTCCAGATGATAGTTGCACACCAATCTAGGCAATCTCATTCATTATCTCATTGCTCTTGATGCATTTGTGACATGGCATTCAATAGAAGTGATGGGGCTTGGTTTTGGCGACACTCTTCACTGCAATTCCTATTCTCCAAGACACTTCAAGCGAATATGCGAAGCGTAATTAAAGTCTTGCTGCTTGGCTGTACACATATATATCAATTTTAGATATTAAGCCTGGAGTTGCCCACTGATGCATTGAAAGCTAGCTGCGCGGCTTTTTTTGTTAGCAAAGAACCTTTCTTGAAATATATTGTTGTGGTCTGGCAGCTTAAAAGGTTGGCTTATGTCTAACTCTATACAGTTCATCCCCGCATCTCGTTATAAATTTCCGAGCGATCTTTATAAATGTTTAATCAGTTGAAAAGTACTTGACAAGCCACCAGGACCCATCGAACTATGCCCGAAAGTTCTATGTCTGAATTCTTCTGCAGTCAATAGTCGCCCCGTCAGTTTTTACAAGATCTGAAGGTCGCAGGTCTACTTTTAGTTCAAGTGCCGCAGTTGTAGTGTTTCCCAGAGTAAGGTTTCCTCAATGTGATTGATAGTTTGCGGAAGGAAGCAGCTTAGCTGTCGATTTATATAAAACTGAACTAGTTTTATTTACCAGAAGGTATAAAATCCTGGATGTACCCCACTTTGAGAGCTCTCTGGTTCACCCTGTCGAAAAGGTGAAGTACTTAAACCTCATCCTTGGTAAAAGGATATCATGGAAGGCCAATGTTGAGAAGAAGGGGAGGAAAGCATTAGTAGTCATATAGTGCTGTAAAAAAGTAGTGGTAAGCGCTAGGAATTCACACCAAGAGTTATGCTTTGGTTTAACAAAACCGTAGTTTAAGCAATAGTGTTCTATGGTGTATTTGTCTGGTGGAGGACGCTCATTAAACAACTAGTTTGAGCTCAATGATCTACTGTCACTAACATCTGCGTTGCACTACGTACAACAAGAACGATGGCTCTTAATGTCATTATACATGAAGCAACGTCGCCGACAGTGGGCCCAAAACTTGTCCAGGAGTGCATGACTCGGGTGAGCTCTCCGACGAATTGGCTGGGGTAGATATGACTCAGCTCAATATATTTGTGGCTGTCTCTAGCAGTTTTGTAGTTATACGATGATCTTTTTTACCCGCATTAGAAGTTCTGGGCATTACAACGCCCAAACGTCTCTGGTGGTCTAAGTGGGATAATTCCTATAATATCAGTCTATTTACCTAACCTAACCTAAGCAACGTCTTTCTATCGATTAAACGCTTATGAGCATATTGTTACTGAACCTGCATATATCGCAGAATATTAACCAAAAGACAGTTTTTTAAAAGAAATGGTTAAGAGATGAGGACAGAAATCTAAATATTCGCTTCTCAAATAATAGGGTTCTCTTATATCCAAATTTTTTAAAACTTAAGATCATAAATTCCAACCTTTTTCGCTTTTAAACAAAAATCTTATAATTGAATTATCATCAAACCCTGGTAACTCAATTTAAAATCGTAATCGTAATTAAAATATTTCTGCGATAAGATTAAATATCAACAATAATATTTGTCTATACACTCTGCCACTTTATTGCATTGCTTGCTGGTTGCGACGTCATCGAGCGAGCTATAATTTGTATCAGCAAGTTATCGACAACCATTAAATAAAGCAATGAGTTATGATAACAACTGAGCAAGCGAATAGAAGGCGCTCAAAATGTGTGTGTGCTGGTGTGTGGTGTTTGCAACGGTAAATATGAGCTTTCCTATAATACTGACTACATGTTAAATTGGCTCATCAATTAGCAGTAACGATTAAATTAGCGTTCAAGCATTAATTTTTGTACCGGCATATGGTACATACCCTGTAGGAAATAGGTGTGAAATTCGATTGTTGAGAAAATTTGAGAAAATTCGGAAGTCTTTGCTTTTGCTTACGCTGTTTGTATACACAATTGATTGTTAATACTATTACTCACAATGCTTTTCTGTTAACTTCATTACACACCTTATTAGCTTATCTCGAATGTTTATTATTGCTTGGTATTATCTGTGTACATATGTATGTATGTGTTGAGATAAATTTGTTACGGTATTTGATTTTTTACTCACCACTGGATTTGCGGCATTATTGAGCAAGGTGTCTTTATTTTCATCTTCCGCTGGCGTAAAGCTGGCTTTGGCGCGATTGAATATACGCAACTTTCGTGGAAAGCACGCCATGTTTGTTGGTGTGGGTTTCTAATTTTTTTGGTCGACAATCTTTATCGGCTTTTTCGCTAATTTCAACTACTTTAGAGCAGTTGATTTTGTTATTGTTTGAAAAACTACGATTTCATCCATTTGTTGCAGTATTTTGAGTGAAGTTACTGAGTTAATTTATTTTGGTGATTAATAGCTACTGACTAGCCATTTAGATTAATGGTCAGTGATCAAAGATTAAATATTAATGATTAACAATTAATGATATATTTGAAATGATTAGTGATTAAAGGCTAACGATTGCTGATTTCTGGTGCTTTATTTATAGTATTGGTGTTTCCTTCAATGACTGTAAATCTTTTGAGTTTGATTTTTTAAGTTTAGTACATTAAATAGTGAAAGTCAAATCCCCTAATTCAAAATAATTCTAATTCTTATTTGTAATAAATAATCGTTGCATATTTTTATTTGATTTAATTTAAACGCATGATTTAAATCTTAATAAAGGACATTACTGACTTTTGGACTGAAAGTTATTATCAAAATTTTTGATAGAGATAGATTAGTTACAACGGGGATATTTTTAAAACTATAGCCATGAACTGTTAAATGTTCGCCCTTTTGACTATGGATAAAGTTTCAACGTGGATTAATTGCGAATTATAGTTATGAGCTTGTAAATATTCATTCTGTTTTTAAAAATGGATCTTAGAATAATATATATTTGAAGAATTTCTTCGTATTTTGTTGCTGATTTTTTATGAGTAATTTTAATCTCATGATTAATTAATTGTGATTAGTTGTGTTAAATCATACAATAATTTCAAAATAATTTTTTTTTGTCTTAATTCGAGATTTATTTTTTTTTTTTACTTAATTTTTGGTAAGTTACTTTACAAAATTTCAACTTTATTGAGGCTTCTATAGACGTGGTTAGTATTGATGTTTAGCTACGACCCAGATTTGAGACTTATGACTAATGATTATTGAGTTTTGATTAGTGATTCACGATTAAGGGTTTTTGAGTTATGAGTCATAAGTCACTAACGATTTATAGGCTGATCTCAACATTGAAATCTCAACTTAGCTACTGTTTAATGAAGTGTGATTTATATATGAGATTTGTGATTTGAATTATGACTTATGACTTAATTAGCTATTATTTAATGAAGCATGACTTATATCTAAGATTTTTTACATAGGTCTGATGAATTGTGACTTGTGATTCACGATTACCTTTTTATGACTTATGGCTCTTGGTAACTAACACTTAGGACTAAGTTGTGATAAATAACTTGAAACTATTTGTTACTGACTAAAAAAACTTATGACTGCGTTATGACTTGGAATTATTAGTTACTGACTAACAATGAGTTATAAATAAGTTATGACTTACGCCGAATTTAAACGATTTTCTTATTTAAATTTCAGAAACCAACGAATTGTGACTTATTTACGACTAAGAATAACTTATGACTTTAGACTGTAAACTTTTCGTAACTGAAAAAATTATAGTTTGATCTTAATATTTCAATTCAAGTGACTAATTAATTGTGACTTATGATTTACGAGAAATACTTTTTGACTTACGACTTTTGGTAACTAACTAAGAATTTATAGGTTAATTTTAATACTAAAATCTCAAAATTACTATTTGTAAAATACTAGCTAATAGCATAATATTTATGAGGCGTGACTGACAATATTAAATTTGTATTGGAATATAAATATTATATAATTCCATGATTGCGAATTAATAAAATCTTCTTTTTAATTTGCAAATTGCATATTGCGACTAATGACTTAATTTTCAGGCATATTTGCCAAGTGTTGATGCATAATGTTTGACGTCAATTTGAACTCGAAATTATTCAGCATGTACACTTTCGTCTTCACTATCTTTATTTGCTTCGAAGGCACTCGTATACCTATCTACATATATACTCGTAATCACATTTTCAGCTATTTAGAAGTCAACTTAATTACCAATACCATATAGAATAAGTATTAGCCTGTTATAGCATGAAAATGTTTATCGCGCTTTATCTTATCTGTCATATATTTGCTTATTAATTATGAGTCAAGGTGGAATAAGATTTCACTTATTATATTTATTTGCCTAATTCGGCTGTTTAATTTACAATCAGATTAGCCCTTGGAATATATTACGTGAATTTATTATGAACAATTAGTGGATTGACATACAAATACTTTAATAGTAATATAAGTTGAGTGAAGCTATTAAATTTTATAAGTCACTGTATATTTTTTTGGAATTTTAGTTAGTTTTCTTTACTCTTTATTAGGTATTTATTTATTTTAATTTTTCGTTTCATTAAGACAAAACAATTATATACAAGTTTTAAATG